AGGGAAGGGCCATTGGGGACACTGGTCTCTCCCAGTGCCTTCAGACAGCAGGCTGAGACCAAGCATGAGGTACACGGAGGCTTTAATAGAAGATGTTTCCAATAATCAGATTGTGCAAGAAGGGAGTGAATAAAGCGCCCTGTGGCTGCAAGCGTGCCAGTGTGGTAAATCATCCCTGCTGTCAGCTTAGGCTGGCCCCAGGAACTTGTGCTGTGACCTCGGGCCGATTGCTCTACCTCTCTGGGCCTCAGTTTCCTCACCTGGAAAATGAACAGCGTAAGGGGGCAGCTGTGAGGCTGTGTTGCACATCCCCAGCACCCCTATCTGAGTGGGGCGCCCACACCGGCCGCCAGCATCCTGATCCTGGGATCTGTTCCAGGTGCTCTCCTCGGTCTCCAGCTGCATGTGGCATCCCCACACCTTGTGCCCAGCCCTGGCCTGGGGTCACATGGTAGAGTGAGATAAATCTTGCTTTGTTTCTCTGCTGGGGGTGCAGTACGGGGGAAGGGGCACAGTGATACAGAGCTGAGCAAGACCAGGCTGAGTGCCATGAGGGAGCTGAAGCCAGGCTTGAGTGACAAGGAGCTAGCTCGGATCTGGTGTCAGAGACAACCGGGGTGGGAAATAGTTGCCCCAAGACCTGCATGGAGCAAGGTAGTGAGGATACCAGGGAAGGTTATTCTAGGGAGTGAGGATGGCATGCGCAAAGGTCCTGGGGTGAGCAAAATTGGCCTGGAACGAGCACTTCCTGATTGATAGTCCCCAGAGGCTTGTAACAGAAGAAAGCCTATGCTTTCTTCCGACAGGAAGGGGACACTCCCCACGGCCAGTGCAGTCACTGCCAGGAGTCCAGCCCTTCAGAGGGCACAGAGAGGAGAGAACCTCCGTTTTCTCATCTATCAAATGAGTCCCAAATCACCAATCATGCAGTCTGACCTATACAACTCAACCTGAAATGCCAGGCACCCATGATCTGGCGGGAAAGGCACCCTGTGATTATTTCCCAGGTGACAGAATGGAAGCCCAGAGAGGTTACTAGTATGGCGATGTCACATAGCTTAGCATTCAAACCTAGAATCTTTGCCTTCAGGGTCAGTGCTCCGCTGCCCCTACCCTGCAGCTGGAGGTCAGTGCGCTGGGAATCCAGATGGTTAGCTTACCAAGCCGTAGTTTGAAGGGAAAGCCATCACACCCAGTTTGACAGATGACAAACAGAGGCCTAGAGTGGCAGCCCAAGGAAACTCTGTAAAGTGCAGGCTCTGTAAGACCCAGGGACCAGCCCCTAGGTCTGCATGTGCCTGAGGGACTGGTAGCCTTTGTTGTCGAGGGCGCAGTGCGGGCAGCCAGTCTCAGCCCTGGTGCCTGGTGCTACGCTTCTGCCCCAGACTTCTGGCTGGGCCCCAGGAGTCCGTGGTCCTGCTAATCCTGGGTAAAGGCATTCAGTGCTGCTCGTGGGAGCCCAGAACCCAGACTGTAAGCCCACTGGTGTCCCCATGAGAGCTGGAGCCCAAGGTGGTGCTTGTGTGGGGCCCACTTCCCTGCAAACAGCATGCCTCCACTCTGTCCTGGGGTTTCCTGGGAGCCCTGAGTGGCACTCACCTTGCCACATAGGAGAGAAACTGCGTCCCAGACAGCAGCTGGGACTCCCTGAAGCCCCAGAGCCAGTCAACCCCGTGTCTGCCTCCCTCCCTCACCTGCAACTCAAGCTGCCCACAGCCAGCTGGATACACGGTCCTGCCTTTTCTATCCAGTTTAGCCTTGCAGCACCCTCCGCCTGAACCTGCAGTGGGAACCTGGAGGTCAAGCATGACCCAGAGTCCCCCAGACCTGGGCCCAGGGACCCTGAGCCTTGAACGCTGAGGACTGCCAAGATAAAAGTTGCACGAACTGCGTGGCTGCTGTCCCCACCAGCTACAGGGGGCAGGAGTGGGTATTTGCCCTGCTTCTTTAGTGAGGGGACCAAGGCTCATGGCCAGTGTCCCAGGGTTAGTTGGGGGAGCCCATGTCAGGTGAAAGTAAGGTCACAGGGAGGACTCAGGACTGGCAGATTGGGATCTGTCCCTGCTACCCTGGGTCCTGTGACTGCACTATACCCAGTTTGATGTAGGACTCTGGCCATGCCCCTTCCTCTGTCCTGGTCTTGGTTTCCCTTCTGAGAGGCTGGGGTTGGGTAGAGCCATGGCTGTTCAGCTTTCCAGCTTGGAGGCCTTAGGATTCTGAGTCCATGTGGGGCCAAGTGGTACCTGGTGGGGGGGTAGATATACCCTCAATTGGGTATATTTTCCCAGTGGCAAATGATATTTTCCCAGTGGCTCAGTGGCCCTGGCTTTCCAGCAGCCTGTGGGTTTCCCTGGCTCTTTTTTCTCCCCTTCAGCCGAGGATGTCCCCACCAGAGGGGACATCACCCCAGCCTGGAGCTGGCTGCCTGGCGCCGGAGCTCTGGCCTCTGCCAACACTGACTGGTCAGGGACGTGCCACCTGCCAGCCTCCGGCTTCCCTTTCCCTGCATGGCTGGGCGATCCCAGGCCCTGGGGGCTGTGGCACTACCCCCGCCCAGCTGACCCCAACTGTTTCCCGCTGCCTCCCCTCCCCCTGGCTGGTCAAAGGCCACATTCAGGGTTCAGCCAGGCCCACTGTCATCTGTCTCCCTGCCCCTTGGGCTTGGCCAGCAGGTGCCTGGGTTCCACCTTTTACCCCCATATCTGTCGTCTTGCTGTAGGTGTTCCTCTGCCTCAGGGCTCTCCATTTCTTTCTGTCCCTGCCCCTCTCTGCAGCCCCCTGGGTAGGTTCCAGCCAAGGCTCGGCTCCACCCCAGCTGTGTTAGAGGATGGCCCTCTTGTGGGAACAGGGGGACTTATGACCTTCTCTCTTTGACCCCAGACCCTCGCCTCAGCCCGATTAAACCCATGGCACACCCCCTCCCCACATTCCTACCCTTTCCTTGAGTGGGCGAGCAGCTGGGCCAGGGGCCAAGCGCTGCTGTCAGCACCTTTCTAGCATCCTTGTCCCCTCCCTGGCTGCGTCAAGCCTCAGCGGGTGGTGGGCAGGCAGCCCAGGGACAGGGACAGGGTGGCTGACGCACGCGGGACACAGCGGGAGCCTCCCCCCTATGTGAGTCACAGGGCATGTGGGAGCTGGGCCCTGGCCCAAGCCGTTCTGGGGAGCAGGGGAGAGGCCACCGGCAGGGTCACCTTGTGGGCGAAGGACAGAGCTCAGTACCTGAGCTGGGGCCCCACAGTCTGCCTGCCCTAGAGGGCAGGATGAGAGAGGCGAACTCAGTCAGGCCTGGCTGCCGTGATGTTGGCTTGAGCAGTGCAGAAGTGATGTGCAGGGGTGGGTGGGGAGCCGCGTGCGAGGCCAAAGCTGGGTGCACACACACAGACTGGCAGGTGGGCAAGTAGGTGCTCGCCTATGTTCCCAAGGTGCTGCAGGCCTCACGCCTTCACACGCCCCACATGCCTGCATGTGCTCCTGCGGCTGACCACATGTGCACTCTTCCTGTGCACACGCACACACCTGCTCCCATGCCTGCCTGTGCACTGTCCCCCTGCTCCCGTCAGCGTGCCCTTGCATCCTCACCAGCTGCACACCTGCGCCCGCACCTGCATACAGATGCCTCCTCCAGACTTTCCCTGGGGAAGGTGGGGTGGACCCTGGGCTACTGGATCCCATAGCTGTGAATTTGAGGACTCAGCTTCCCCCGGTAAGCCTGGCTGCCTCGGAAGGGGAAACTGAGGCCCAGAGAGGGCGAGGACTTACCCCATGGGCTATGCTATTCTGGCCTTGAGACCTTCATATGGCCTGGCTAAGGACAGTGATGGGGTCTGCCACCTGCCACCTCCTGTCTGCCCAAGCTGGCCCTGCAGGTGATGGGAGGTGCGAGGCCATCATTGGGGGTCCCTATCCTTCCAGCCTCAGACCTGGCACTGGTCTTTGACCCAACGAGCCATCTGGAGCCCCTGCCACCGGCCACCTCTCAGCCAGCACTGCCCACTCTGGACTTCCTTGGGATGCCTCCCTGCACTCTGCTCCTCTGGGGCTCTGGGCTGTAAATTGGTTTTGCTTTAGCAGCACAGGTCTAACAGCTGTTTCCAAGCACTCTCCTTCCTGGAGTTCCCAGGGGAAGGAGCGGGCGTTGGAGGTGGATCTGATGTACAGCCTCTGGCCTTCCTTGCCCAATCCTGGATTTTTCTGGCCTTTGCCTCACCTCCTGGGCCCCTCTGTGGGCAAGGGAGTGGGAAATGGGTTTGCCTGTGAACGGGGCATCAGGTAGGAGTGGAGGCTGGGGTTGGGCCTGGTCAACGGGGTATGTCTAGTTTGCTAGGGGCCCTGGTCATACCTCCTCCGGGCCTGGGACTCAGTTTCCCTACTTGGGAAATGAGGGTCGGCACAGAGAGTCTGTGGTCCCAGGGCCACCTGCTATCCCTTGGAGATGGATGGTATGAGTCACCTTCCTTCTTCCCAGTTGATGGGGCCAGGAAGGGACCTCGGCCCTAATCTGCAGACGAGGAAACACTCAGCGAGGGTGTGCTTCGCCTGGCTGCGTAGACAGCGCCCTCGGCCTCCTGGCTCGTGGTCTGGGCTCACCGTGCCTGGGAGCCTGGAGCCTGGCCCAGGCTGTGTTGTGTTCCTTGGGACAAGCCTTTGTCCCTTTCTGAGTCTCCAACTCTCCAGCTATGAAAGGGGGTGTGGGGCTTGGTGATGCTGTCTCAGAGGTCTGCGGCACCCCTTTGGGATCAAGGGCCCTTTCCAGAAAGTACTTCCGGGTGATGACCTTGGGGAGTGTCTCTGGGTCCCCTAACTTACCTTCCTCCGATGGGCTCAGTTTGGCCTATGGGATAAGCTGTCCCCACACCGTCCCCCCTGCAGAGACCCCAGCCTCTGCATCCCCTGTGAGGGGGGCACACAGCCACCACACTCTGCTCCCCTCCCCCATGGAGGCTGAGACAAGGGAATTATTTTTGGAACAAGAGCAGTTACACAACAAATGAATTATTTATCTTTGGGCATGGAGAAAGGAAGCATTTTGCTGGGCTTCTTAATTCTTTTTCTGGATTTGGGGTGCCCACCTGGGTAGGTGGACCTGTGTGTGTGTGGTCTGTCTGTCCTGTACACAGATGGTACTTGTGTGTGTTTGTGTGTATGTGTGCATGTGTTCCAGGCTGTGTCCATGTGTGTGCGCCAGAGCATGCTGGCTCGTGGGGGCACGTGATCTTTGTGCAGGGTGGCAAGTGAGTGTGGGCACCAGTGTGCTGGGGGTGTGTGTGGGCGCACCTGACCTGCTTCCTCTCCCGGCTCCTATCTATGTCCTTGGCCCTCAAGATGCCACTAACCTCGATCTCGCTGCTGCTCCCCAGCCCCTCCCCCTCTTGCCACCCCCCTACCCTCCCTTCCTTTATGTAGCAGGGGCTCTGGGGTGCTTGATGGCATGGAAGGCCCCAGGAGGGGGTATGGAGAGGGACTGGGCCCTGCGCTGGACCTCGAAGGGCTGATCTGGGCCCTCACACTGATCAGTCACCCCTTCGGTGCTGCCTTTCAGGAACCAGTGACAGATGGGTCTCTTCCTTCCTGCCCCCGTCTCTCTGCTCTTCCCCAGAGCTGCACCCTGCCCTCCGGTGGGAACCGTCTGAAGTTCTAAGCCTAAAACCGGAGGAGGAGGAGGAGGAGCAAGAGGAGGAGGAGGAGGAGGAAGAAGAAGAGGAAGAGGGAGGAGGTCCGTGCCTGGGACTCTGTGCACCTTCTCAGCAGGAGTTGCGGAACACCTCTGAGAACTGACCTTGGGTCCCCACACCTCAGCCAGACCTGGTGTCCACTTGTAGCCTCCTGGAAAGCCCCCAGCAGTTGGCACCAGCTCTCCCCATCTTGCCTTGGGATCCCTGTGCTGGGGGTCGCCCCCAAGATGGTGGCGGCCCCAGAGAGGACTGTGCCGCCAGCCCCAGCCTCCAGTCTCTAGGCCCCTGTGCTTTGACCCCTCACCCCCTGCCCATCCACCAGGGGGCCGAGGCCAGCACCATGCTGCGCCTGGGGCTGTGCGCTGCGGTGCTGCTGTGCATATGCCGGCCTGGCACGGTGCGTGCAGACTGCTGGCTCATCGAAGGGGATAAGGGCTACGTATGGCTGGCTATCTGCAGCCAGAACCAGCCACCCTACGAGACCATCCCGCAGCACATCAACAGTACCGTGCACGACCTGCGACTCAACGAGAACAAGCTCAAGGCTGTGCTCTACTCCTCGCTCAACCGCTTTGGGAACCTCACGGACCTCAACCTCACCAAGAATGAGATTTCCTACATCGAGGATGGCGCCTTCCTGGGCCAGTCGAGCCTGCAGGTCCTGCAGCTAGGGTACAACCGGCTCAGCAACCTGACGGAGGGCATGCTGCGCGGCATGAGCCGCCTGCAGTTCCTCTTCGTACAGCACAACCTCATCGAGGTGGTCACCCCCACCGCCTTCTCCGAGTGCCCGAGCCTCATCAGCATTGACCTGTCCTCCAACCGCCTCAGCCGCCTGGACGGCGCCACCTTCGCCAGCCTGGCCAGCCTGATGGTGTGTGAGCTGGCCGGCAACCCCTTCAACTGCGAGTGTGACCTCTTCGGCTTCCTCGCCTGGCTTGTGATCTTCAACAATGTCACCAAGAACTACGACCGCCTGCAGTGTGAGTCTCCACGGGAGTTCGCCGGCTACCCGCTGCTGGTGCCCCGGCCCTACCACAGTCTCAACGCCATCACTGTCCTGCAGGCCAAATGCCGCAACGGCTCGCTGCCCTCCCGGCCTGTGAGCCACCCCACACCCTACTCCACCGACGCCCAGCGGGAACCCGATGAGAACTCGGGCTTCAACCCTGATGAGATCCTTTCTGTAGAGCCGCCGGCCTCATCCACCACCGACGCGTCGGCGGGGCCTGCCATCAAGCTGCACCATGTGACCTTCACCTCGGCCACCCTGGTGGTCATCATCCCACACCCCTACAGCAAGATGTACGTCCTGGTGCAGTACAATAACAGCTATTTCTCTGATGTGATGACACTCAAGAACAAGAAGGAGATTGTGACCCTGGACAAGCTGCGGGCGCACACCGAGTACACCTTCTGTGTGACCTCACTGCGCAACAGCCGTCGCTTCAACCACACCTGCCTGACCTTTACCACCCGGGACCCCGTGCCCGGCGACCTGGCGCCCAGCACCTCCACCACCACACACTACATAATGACCATCCTGGGCTGCCTCTTTGGCATGGTCATTGTGCTGGGCGCTGTCTACTACTGCCTACGCAAGCGCCGCATGCAGGAGGAGAAGCAGAAGTCTGTCAACGTCAAGAAGACCATTCTGGAGATGCGCTACGGGGCCGATGTGGATGCGGGCTCCATTGTCCATGCTGCCCAGAAGCTAGGTGAGCCCCCCGTGTTGCCCGTGGCCCGCATGTCCTCCATCCCATCCATGATTGGGGAGAAGCTGCCCACCTCCAAGGGGCTGGAGGCTGGGCTGGACACACCCAAGGTGGCCACCAAAGGCAACTATATTGAGGTACGCACGGGTGCTGGGGGGGATGGATTGGCTCGGCCCGAGGACGACCTCCCAGACCTTGAGAATGGCCAGGGCTCTGCTGCTGAGATCTCCACCATAGCCAAGGAGGTGGACAAGGTGAATCAGATCATTAACAACTGCATCGATGCCCTCAAACTGGACTCCGCCTCTTTCCTGGGGGGCAGCAGTGGTGGTGGGGACCCCGAGCTGGCCTTTGAGTGCCAGTCCCTCCCTGCGGCCACTGCCACCTCCACGGCTGCCACTCCTGGGGCATTGGAGCGACCCAGCTTCCTCTCCCCCCCTTACAAAGAGAGCTCCCACCACCCGCTGCAGCGCCAGCTCAGTGCCGACGCCGCCGTCACCCGCAAGACGTGCAGTGTGTCGTCCAGTGGCTCCATCAAGAGCGCTAAGGTCTTTAGCCTGGACGTGCCTGACCACCCGGCCACCACGGGGCTGGCCAAGGGTGACTCCAAGTACATCGAGAAGGGCAGCCCGCTCAATAGCCCGCTGGACCGGCTCCCACTGGTGCCCTCGGGCAGCAGCGGGGGTAGCGGTGGGGGTGGGGGCATCCACCACCTGGAGGTGAAGCCAGCTTATCATTGCAGCGAGCACCGCCATAGCTTCCCCGCGCTCTACTACGAGGAGGGCGCCGACAGTCTCAGCCAGCGGGTTTCCTTCCTCAAGCCGCTGACCCGCTCCAAGCGAGACTCCACCTACTCGCAGCTCTCCCCTAGACACTACTACTCAGGGTACTCCTCCAGTCCCGAGTACTCCTCTGAGAGCACGCACAAGATCTGGGAGCGCTTCCGGCCCTACAAGAAGCACCACCGCGAGGAGGTGTACATGGCCGCCGGCCACGCCCTGCGCAAGAAGGTCCAGTTCGCCAAGGACGAGGACCTGCATGACATCCTCGATTACTGGAAGGGGGTCTCAGCCCAGCAGAAGCTGTGACCCTCTCCTCCCTGGTGAGGCCGGAGGGGGAGGGCGGGGCGCTCGGGAAGGGCCCCAGGTGGCCAAGCCGGGCCGGGGCAGCGCACTGAGGGCCGGGGCCTTGGAGTGGACGCACACGCATACCCGCACGCACGCACCACGCACACACACCTGACCACCACCTGACTGTGAACCAACCAACACCCAACAATAACGGACAGGAAAACAAAGACACATTTTCCTTAAAGTTTACAAACTGATACCGAAACCAGGCATCTTTACTGTGCTGCCCAGGGACTCTGCTGGGGTGTGTGGGGCTGGGGACAGGGACAGGTGAGGAGGAAGCCAGGAGGGCGTGGGCCTGGGGAGCTGGGACTATGGACAGGATGGAGGGCAGGGGAGACTGAGGTAGAGATGGACTGAAGGCCCCCAAGGATGGGGCCCAGGTCAGTTGGAGGACTGCACACTGGGTGGACATTGCTTTCTCCCTTGCTGGGTGGCACAGGGCAAGGAAGTGGTCACACAGCTGGTTAGTCTCGGTCTCCCACCTTGCCAGCCCAATGCTGCCCCTGCCCAGCTGCTCCTCCAGGCCCCCCAGCCGGTCAGCTCATCACCACATCCAAAGCTGAGGTCTCTTGGGGCCGAGGGATTCGAGAAACAGGCAGGTGCTTTTCCTCCCTAGAAAGTCCACGGAAGTGCTCTTGGGGTCTGGGGCTTTGGCTTACAACTCTAGGGGGTCTCCCTGGCAGGAAGGGAGCAGAGGCAAGGGGACGGACCACCAAACTCCTTCAAGTGTCTTCCAAGTAGCTCGGGAGCTGCCTGGGGGTGGGTGGGGGCATACTAGCTCCTATGTCTCAGGTGCAGGCCCCAGGCCCCAGGCCCCAGGCCCCCAGCTTCTCTGAGCCTGGGGGGGGGGCTTTACCCACCCAGACGGGTGACAGTTGGAAGTGATGCTGAAGGCAGCAGGGAGGTGACCTGGAATGGCCTAGGACTTCCTGCCTCTGCCCTGCATCCTACCCCTGCCTGACACCCACTGCAGGGTCTCTGGGCAAGTCTCAGCTTGCTTACAGGAAGGAGGGTGCCCGACACCCCATCCTTGCCTCATCTCCTGGCCAGAGAGGCTCCCATGTTTCCATGGAAATGTCCACTTCCCTCTGATCCCCCACCCAACATCGAACAAAGCACAAACAGTGAGGTCCCCCCACTGCCCTGGGGTGGGGGGGAAGCAGGCTGGGTGTGTGGGCCCCTCCCCCTCCCTAGCTAGCCCATCACCATGGCAACCCGGTTCCTGGCAGTTGGTGCCCAGAGCCACCAACCGTTGGGCTCTGGGGTTCTCTCAGTGTGGGCGGCAGCGGAGGGCGGTGAGGGAGGACAAGGATGGGTGGTGAGCCAAGAATTTCTGGGGACAAACTCTGGGGAAGAGCAGTTTTGGGGTCTTGAGACCCTGGATGTTGAGCACCTACAGGCGTAGAGGTTGAGACATAGTACCTTCTGTGTGCAGGGTGGGCTGGTGGGTGTGGGGTGGGCTCTGCAGGGTGGCTTTGCCCACCTATCGACATGCCCTCAGCTCCCTGCCTCCTCAAGAAGGGAGCCTGCTCTGTTCTCCCACACCCTGCCAGGGCTCCCCAGCTCATGGCCTGCCACCCTCTTGAGCATCTCCAGACAGTAGGACCGAGACAGTGGGGTGAGGGCAGACACTGGGTTGGGACCGAGACCTGCACTGTGGGCGGGGGGCTCTGACCAGGAAAGCTAGTGCTGTCCCCTGGTGGGGACGTCAACCCCAAAGGCTGGGGGTGTTGGAGGGGGCTGGGGGTCAACCAAACACCTTGGTCACATCAGCTTGGGGGTGGGCTGAGCCCAGGGCTCTCACTGGGGGTGACATTTGCAAAGAAAAGACTTTTCCTGGAAAGCAGAGGGGTCAGGCTGGCATGATGCACACAGGGCAGACCTCCCCCAACCTCCAGACTTGACCCTCCACCCCTCCTCACACCCAGTTGCCAAAATGGAGCAAAGCAGGCTGGGAAGCCGGCAGCGTGAGAAGCAGATTCCCTGTTATATTTGCATGACGATTTTACTGTATTTTTCTGAGCAAACATCTGTCGTGTATGTGCCAGTCTGTCCAGTTTCCCCACTTCCCTCCCAGGTCTCCCCATTGTGATCTGAGCAGCTCTTGAAACCAGGGAGGGGCTAGCTCTGCAAAAGACCCAAAACAGGTGCCACCAGGACGCAGCCCTGACCCCAGCTCCCGTCTTCCTGGGCATCAGGCCCACAAGTGCCACCTTCCTGCTCCCTTCATCTCTCCATGGCCACCTCTCCTGTCCCCTGTGTACCTCATCTTTCTTCGGCCCTTGCTTCCTCCATGCCAGGGAAGGTGGCCATAGGAACATTTGGAGAGGGCAGCCCCACCTCAAGTGGAGGGGGCCTTCACAGTTCCTGTTGTTGGCTCAACTTGTTTTGCAGGCCAGGAGGGCCTGGGCAGGTCAGGGGATGGGGGTCAGTCACTGCTGGAGACAGGAGGCCAAGAGCTTGGGGCATCATGGACAGCTGGGATCTGAGGGACAAGTACTGGGAGGACAGGGAGCTGCCAGGGGCCTGGCCTCACACCAGGAAGGTTCCCAGCTGCAGGTTGGGCACTGTCTCTCCCCTTCTGCCATCATTCCTTCTTGGAGACCTATATAAACCCTCAGGCCAGCTTATTTTAGGGGGCTTTAAAGGTAGGGCCCCATCTCAATGGAGGGGCCTGACCCTCTGGGAGTTCCAGCAGCCTAGAGTAATCATATTGTACTGTTCTCTGTGAGGCAGAGCATGGCTCTGGACGCAGTCCTCTGCTCTCCACCCCAAAGCCAGGCCAAACTACTAGCCGGCCAGGCTAACCGGAAGTCAAAGACAAAGACAAAAGAGCATTTACCCCCAAGAGTTGTGTTTGTCAGAGCCACGGGGCCTGGCCTGGCCTGGGCAGGCTGTGAGGGTGGCACCTGGGGTGGAGGGGAAGGGGCCAGGAAGGGGTGTGGTCAGGGGGCCCAGAGTGGGCGCTTGGGGGGAACCAGCTGGGAAAAATGAGGGTGCTACACCGTGGACCCTACCTGGGGCTCAGACAAGGCCATACCTAGGCCTGCCTGCTCCTGTGCACCCTGTCCTGGGTGGTGGCAGAGAGATGCCTACTCTCTTCTGATGGCATGACAGGCGTGTCACCCTACTGTTGGAGCTAACGGCCTTCCACAGGTGAAAATTGAGATCTGTTGGGCAGGAAGCATATGTTAGTGGACAGCTCCTCCTTTCGCAGGAAGGGTTTCTTTTCTGTGCATCAAGTGCCCTCAGTTCTGCTCCGTGAGCAAGGACAGGAGTGCTGGGGACAAGGGGTGGCAGTGGGAAGACCCACTTGGGAAGGCCAGGCTTGGGCCTCTCTAGAGGAACACCCCAGGACAGCTGGGTAGAGAGAGTGGGGCTGGCCAGGGGCCCTGGAAATTTAACAGAAGGGGAAACAGAGGCATGAATAGCTCCCAGCCTGGAGAAAGCAGTCAGTGGCAGCAAAGGGTTGGAAAGGAACAATAGCGACAGACCCCTGCTTATAAGGGGCCTGAGTAGACAGACAGAAAATGTTTCCCAGTGGTGGGCACAGTGCAGGGAATAGAAATGGGGGCAAGGGCTGGGGTGGTCCCTTGCCCCTAGGAGGCAGTGGCTAGCAGCTGAGCTCTTCAAGGCCCAAGGGGCTGGAGGAGCTGCCAGCTGTTGACGGAAATAGCTGGTGTGGCTGGCTGAGCGCGCTCTCTGGTCACCACCACCACGCCTGGCCTTTGCCAGAGTGCGGGTGGGCCTCTGGAACTGACCGCTGCTCCCCAGGGCCTCAGGCCTCAAGGCAGGGACTTCCAACTCATGGCCCAATCTGACACAGCCCCTCCCCGACCTGAGAAGGAGTCGCTCTTTCCCCCTTGCCTCCGCATCCCCCTAAAGGTCAGTCACTCCTGCTGAGCTGAAGAGGAAGGGGGGCCCCATGGGGCTGTCTGGGGAGCGTCTGGGCCTCCTCCTCCGTGCCCCTGCCCCTCTGCCAACCACGCACAGGTCTGGGGCAGGGGTTTGGGTCCAGCAGAGGTGGCCGTCCTCCCCTCCGTGTCCCCACCCCCTCAGGCGCCGCCAGCTCCCAAGCGCGCTGCGGCCTGGCACCTGCTTTGAGCCCGGCAGAGCTGGGCTCGAGACCCTGAACTCTGTGAACCCCAGCTGTGTACCGGACCCTCTCTCCCTCTGGGGGCCTTGATCCCTCCTTTTCTTCATTTATGGGGGTAACTTCATTTATTTTTTCCTCTCTACATCTGCCCTCCACCCCCATTTCCTGTTTTAAACTGAATGGCACGAAATTGTTTTCCTCAACTCGGAGATTCCTGTATGGAGAGAATCAATTTCTATATTTGCAATAAATTTCTTATTTAAAACAGCAGGCCCAAGCTTTCTGTGGAGTGTTGTCCTGCGGCGTGGGTACCTACAGCCCCCACTTCCTGGTGTCCCAGCCCCGTGTCACCTCTGCCCCCAGAGTTCTGCCCATGGGACTAAAGGCGGGGCTGGTGGATGGGGTTAGTCTGCCCGTGGTCAAGGGGAGTGAAGGCGAGCTTCCAAACACAAGGCAGCCCGCAGGGAATACAGGAGAGTCGTGTGCCCTGGCACCCTGCAGGCCTGCCCAGCGGGGGTCTCGTGACCTCAGAACTGGGGTGCTGCCCTGCCATGTGGCCTGCCACTTCTTCCTCGGCTCCTTCATCCTGGCTGCAACTCAGTAGAGGGCTGTGTGGACACTGGTGGATGTCTCAAAAGACATGGGAGCCCCTCCGCCCCTGCTCTGTGGACCCCTGGCCTCCTCCAGGCCTGGGCACCCCACCTGCCCGGTCCCTGGTGCCCTCATTGCTGCCCTCCAAAGCTACTGGCCACTCTTGCTCCCTTTAGACCAAGGCGTCCTTCTTGTCTCTGACAGGCACAGAGCTGGGTCACCATCCAGCGACCTCAGGCTGACCTGTCCAAACCTTGGCCCGGGGGAGCCTGGAGCCACAGGTGCCCAGACTGGCCCCAGCTTCCCTGGGACAGAGCCCCCCCCCCTGCCCTGACCCCTATGATCCAGCTGCTCCACATGAGCACTGCTCCAGGAAGCCCTGAGCTGGCCCAGGCTGCCATAGGGCCACTTTGAGTGTGCTCTGGGGGAGAGTGTTCCCTGTGAGGGACACCGCTGGCTGGTGGGCCTCGGAAGCTTCAAACAAGGTGGTCAATGGGAACTGTGGCCCTGGTGGCTCTAGGAGGGGGCCCCTGGCTTCCCAGTTCCTTCCTCTACCAGAGTTAAGGGTGGGGGGCTGGAGAGATGGCTCAGTGGTCTAAAGCACCTACTTGGAACAAGCTTGGCAAAGCACAGGGACCGCGGCCCCCCCCCCCACTAAATAAATGTTAAAAAAAATTAAAAAAATAAAAAACAGAGTTAAGGGGGTAGAGACCCTTGGGGACAGCCCTGACTGGGTCTCCTCACCTTCCCCCTCCTAATC